GACTCTACTGCACAACAAAAACATTTTTTGAAAAAGGAGACCAATGGCCTCCAATTTACAGAGATGGTGTCTGGTGGGTTCCTTTTAAGCTCACCTATTTTGTCATTTCTGTTTCTGGATGGACTTTGAACAGCTTAGTCTCACCTCTCCTTTTCTTATACCTTCCTTCTTACCTGACCCTGGATCCTTCCTGACATAAGGGAAAATTTCAGGGAAGACCACTCTGTGATCTAAGTGTGTTGAAACCTTGGGCAAGTTACTTAACTTCTCCGGGCTTCAGATTCCTCATCTATAAAATAGCAACAATCAGCTCTGTAACACCAGAGTTGTTCTGCGGATCAGAGCAGCACACTGATGTTCAAGAGCTGCGTGTGTCACCTGACACACCAGCCATGCCCAGCAGAACCATTGCTTCCACTCTTAATTAGGGACTTAGTTTTTCTGAACTTTCCCTGTGTGCAGGTCTGAATTCGAATGGCTTCTGCAGGAATCTGTGTTCCTTCAGGGGACTCTCTACCCAGGATAAGCAGATTCCTAGTGCAAACAGTTTCCTAAAGTTGATCATTGCAGATAACAGCAAAGACCCTGGGGCCACTCCAGGGTGGTCCTGGCTCCACCCCTAGTGGTTGTTTGAGGCTGGGCAAGTTAACTCACTTCTTTGCTCCCCATTTTCCTAACTTGTGAAATGGGAGTGACTCTCTAAAAGGATACATTGAAATAAGTCAACGTAACTCAGGAATTTAAAGCACTTCGGGTGCTCTGCAGGGGTCAGCTGGAGTCACACTAATATCCAATTTTCAGCCAGCAGCCAGAGTGGCAGCCCTAGAGCACAGATCTGCCCTTGTGATACTTCTGCTCAACATCCCTCTGTAGCTCCCATCTCCTTGAAATTTTTGCTTCTTGGTGCAGACCATGCACTCGTTACCTTGAGCCCAACATCTCTAGGCTTGTCACCAAGTCACAACACGGATGAACCTAGAGCTAAGCCAAATGACCAGACATGGAAGGACTTCTGCACAGTGTCACTTACTGGCTGCATATAAAATAAACCCACGGAAGCAGAGAATAAATGTTGTTTTTTAGGGGCTGGGATAGGAACTTGAGGAACTGCCATTAGTAGGTATAAGGTGTCAGTTATGCAAGACAAGTAGCTCCTGAGGTCCACTTTGCAATGGAGCTCTTTATTGTGGCGCACTTGGAAACCTATTGAGGCAAGGGAAAGAAGCCCTCACTAGGTGGCCCTGGCTGAAGGAAGGTCTTTGTGGGGCCAAGCAGGGGGCCAGGGCCTCGAGCTCTGCCTTGATGCCAGAGAGGCCCCTTCAGAGTCAGCCAGAGGGGCAGCAGCCCCCCGGGGCCATGACACCAGCCCCTACATTCAAGTCCTTCAGGTAAAGAGCCTTTTCAGATCCAATTTAGAGATATTTGTATCAGGGAAGAAGGCAGTTGTAATTACTAAAAGCCTGCAGGCTAAGGGAATGAATGATGTCAAAATCATGGCTTCATCAGGTGAAATTAGTCAAAAGTGGAAAAATAAATAAAAATGACATGTGCGTTTGGTTACTGCTAGACGGAGACTG